ACAGTCCCTACTCCTCAGCAACCTGTGGCAGGACATCTTGGTAGCAGGCACAAACTTCATGCACAGCCAATGCCTTGCTGTGACCCAGATCTCTGGCTGCTGCCACCTCCTTACTCCTCTCCAGATCACTCTGCACAGGGAGATTTGGGCTCTCAGAGTATGGCAGCATCAGCAGCAGTGTGTTCTGGTAGGGAGGCTCCTGAGTTTGCCCCAAACCTGGAAATGTCCCATGGTTACACTCAAGATTTCTAGCATGCTTGACAGCAGTGGCTGTGGACAATCACCTGATCAGCTTCACCAGCCCAGTTCTGGGATTGGGACAGGAATGGGCAGGGTGTGTTTGAGCAGGACTTTAGCAAAACCCACTATGTCTGCAGCACAGACAGGCCCCGAGCTGGCTATTGTCCTCTTTGGCCACCTATGCCCCTTGTAAAGCTTCCCTAACTCCTTCAGTGGATGGGCATGCTGATAGAACAGATTGGCATTTAACTGCTTCAAATGCAATCAGTGCTGTTTTTTCTCTGTAGCAATGTGTTCCTTCTGTTCACACGGAAGTCAGTTCTGTTTGGGGCACAGACTCAGGCACGCAGATAAAGCATAGATTTTGTATAAAGCATAGATCTACAGAAAAAGCAACCTCTTTCTTCAGTCAACTTTGAGCAACCTCATCCAGGCTTTATATCCTGGTCTCAGCGTTAGGAAGGGAGATGCTGAGAGAGAGATGTTTAAAACCTGATAAATGTAAAAGCCAAGATGACAGATTTGTGCAGTTCCCCAATTCAAAACACTGTCTTCAGGGCTAATGTGCCTCTATGGGCTTTGCACAACAAGAATGAGGAACCTGCAGGGACACAGCAGGTTACCATGTTTATCACATGCACTAAATATGAATGAGCACCCTGAGAACACAGCTACTGCTTTGCTAGGATAGCAGGGGGTCCTGCAACAGAAGACTGCCAAACTCTTTAAAAGGATATTGCCTAATTCCTATGCAGCACAGCATAATATGATGCAAGGTTATATCTGATAACATAATCTAATGAAGGGACCAGCCTGCCCCTGCTGCCCTTTACACTCAGCAGGTAAACAAACTCTCAGTTTGGGCTGAGAAAAAAGCCATGGTTTATAGCTGCTGTGACTCCCTGGGGACAAAGCGTTTGTTGCCATTGGCAAATAATGTTGGATGAACAACATCTGCCTTCTGAAGCAGATTGGGTGGTTGCCAAAAACAAGAAAGGACCAGGCCCGAAGTCATTTAACACCAAGCAGCACATTAGTATTACCTTGCAGCCAGAGGAAGGTACAAGCCTTAGCAATGATGAATTGCAGCTGTTACAGGCTGTTTACTTAACCTTTCTTAATCACACAGTGCCTCAAGCATTGCTGGGCCTGTCTCTGCTCAAGGCCTGAGTCAGATGCCAGTCCAAGGGGCACCTCTATATTAAAGCTTTGCATCAAGGTTAATTGCTTGCCAGCCGACTCCAAGAAGCAAAGATATTTTTTTTTAATGAAAATTTTTCGTGTTCCAAGCCAAATCAACCAAATCAATTCCAAATCCATGAGTCGGACAAGAACCATAAGTGGGCCTTACTACCAGGAAATATCCTCCACCTCTACCTGGGGCTTCAGATGTTTCCAAATCATTTGGCAGGCATCCTATGTGCAGGCCCAAGCCCAGAGGCTTAGGGTTTGGGTGCCCCCAAGTTTCTCTTGCCCTCAGCCATAAGGCTGCAGGAGCAAGCTAGCAAAGATCCTTGCTAGGCTAGTCTGGATTCCCCCCAGCTGGTTGTAGTCTGGAAGAAATGTGTGTATGCTATTCCAGGGACCAGTCAGTTAACTTGGGGCAAGACACCTCTAGTACAGACAAGGTGTGGGAACAGAGGGAAATCTCTCTTCCAACTGGGGCTAGAAGCAACCACAAAACAACACACATTCCTTTGCAGTGACGGAAGAGCTCTGGGACAGCCTGGGCAGAAATGTCACCTGGGCATGAGGCACATGGATCTGACAACACAGGATGGTTTGGAAGGTGCTGAAAGGGCATCCAGTATTGCATTTACATCTCACTGGCAAATGGAGGGGGATGTTTGAAAACGGCATCAATGCCTGCAGTGCTCTGCACATCCACAGGTACGAGGGTGCCTCACTTCCCTCAAAAATCAACAATAATGGGGCCTCTCAGTGGCAACATGTAGGGGGTGCACGTGCACCCCCTGAGAGCGCTGGTGCACCCCCTGTCAGACCGTGCTCCACTTAGGCGATGGGCAGCGGGGCAGGCAGGAACACTGGTCAGGGAGCGGGGCCACCACCAAAAGTGGCCGTGCTGCTTCTGGAAGTGGCCACAGGACTTCTGGAAGCGGCATGGACACTTTTTGTTGAGTGAAATTGGTCGCAGGGGGACCCCCTCCCCCCAGTCAGCATGACTGGCCGCTGGGGGATCCCCCTCCCCAGTCGCTGACTTAAGTGACACCAGTTGCCCATGGGGCCTCTACTATAATTTGTGAATCTGGGCCTCTCTCTACTAGATGTTTGTTCCGCATTTGTCTGATCAGGTTGGAGCCCTGGTCCCCATCACAGGAGGCCAAGCAACCTACTATGGGCAAGTGAAGGCAGAGCCCTGGAAGCCATCTAGCAGTGCAGGAAGGCAGGGAGCAGAGACCGACTGCTGACACCACACATCAGACATAAGGTTGCATTTGCAAAGCAGGGGATGGATGAGGTTGAAGACTTTTGCCATCTTGAAGAAAGTTTCTGCCTGCTTCAGTTCAATATTGCTGTCAGGCCACCTGTCAACAACTTCCCTTAGCACAGAAACCTCCTAGTCCAGCCCCTCCACAGTACAACTAGCAGTCAAAACACACATACCTGGTACTACCGCTTCCCAGTACCTCCTCCATTGTTGTCCTCTGGAGCTTCTTGAATCTCTTTGAAGAGGTCCTGAAAATCCAGTGCAACCTCAGGTATGTCCTGGCCCTGGCTCCTCAATCCTGGTCTCTGCCAAGGCCAATAAAGGGATGTCCCTCTCCTGGTTATCCATCAGCACAGTACAGGGGCCTCCATATATAGGCTTGCACTGAAGGGTGTGGGCTGGAAGTGGTCTTAGTCTGGAACAGATGGGGCAGGTCTCCTCTGGCATCCTAGGCTTTGCTACATCACGTATCTGGAAACCTTTGACCTTTTCCAAGTACTGCCTGTGGATCCAGGCCCCTTTCCCTCCAGCTCCTTTGGGAAACACCTCTAACCTCTTAGGAAAAGCTTCCACAAAACTTCCCAAGGGACGCCCAGCTTCAACACAACAAACAGGACCAGTAAGGTCCCTTAATTCAGAAGACCGAGCCAGAGAAAAGCATGGCCTTCAGAGTAACAGAGAAATGACATACATGGCTCTGGCTCTGCTACTACAAGGCAGGAGACCACTGTGTTATTTTCTTCTTCACTGCTGTTCCTCCTCCCATCGGGCAAGCAGGGAAGAAAGCCACGGTGATGACAGATGTCTGGTGCTGAAGCCAGGTTGTTACCATATTTCTAGTGTACAGCAGTGAAATTGCAACAGCCTGAAATGCTGAAATGCTATTAACTTAACAACAGGGCTGGATAAGGGACCACTGTGTGTGATCACCTGCTCAAGGCAGAATCATCCCCATCTGCACCATCCTAGATAAAAAAAAAACTAAAATGCTCTTAAAAGACTCCCAGTCAGGCCACCTGTCAAATTTTCTTGGTACAAATTTGCTCCTGCATCTGCGATTAGCTCTTGGTGGCAAGAGTAGGTGTAAAATCTAGTGCATACACATGTACACACCTACAGTAGCTGAATGCCCAAATGCAATAACCCTTCCCCAGGCCACACAGTCAGGGAAGAAGTTTTCTC